AAGGCAAGCTGAAGCAAAAAAACAAACAAGGCAAAAATTCAGAAAGCGGCAAGTCTAAAGTTGAGCGCATGATGAACCGCAAGATTCTGAAGACGACTGCCCGAGTTCCTATGCTTCAGCCCGAGGATCAGACTGGTCAGCATTGTTGGGCCCCATGGTGGTCTTAGCCCCAGCAGCAGAAGAAGCAGGCTTTGCACTCTGCCGAGCCTCCCTTTCCCTCTGTTCAGCCTCCAACTCCATTCTCTCAGCTTCTTCTTCGGCTTCCTCAGCCTTAAGGATTTTAGCTTCGACTGGAGTTGCATACTTCATATGAGGGTCTTCGGGATCCTGGACCCATTCAGCACATTTGGACCAGTCCAACTTCGGCTCAGCATGAAGGCAGACTCTTTGGCACACTCTGAACCCGTTTCTGAAACCCATTTCATATTCTTCCTAGGTATAGACACAGACTTTGAGTAAAGCCTCAGCATCAGCCAACTTCTTCTTTGTCTCCTCCAAGTCTTCCTTGGATTTCTTCAGCTCATCGGCGAGCTTGGAGGAGGAACCTTTCAGCTCATTCAGCTCCTGCTGAACTTGGGAAGCCTCTGTCTGAGCCTGGGCCACTTCTTCCTTTTTGGCCATCAGCTGATCCTCAGCTTCTTGGAGCTTAGCTCTCTGAGCTTCAGCAGCAGCAGCAGCCTCTGAGAGTTGGACATCCCTGGCTTGGAGCATCTCTTCAGCAGCCATTCTGCTGGCTTCAAGAGCTTCTAGTTGTTGCTGCACTTCAGCTTGTGCAGCAGCTCCTTCCTGGATTCGGCTCTCAATGGTAGCCTTGAATTTGGAGATGTCCACTCCCATGTGCTCTTGGAGGAATTTTTCCCCTTCCATCAGTGGGGGAAAAACTTCCTTCTCCATAGCATCGCAGAAGGTTTTGAGGGCTTCAGCAGCTTTTTTCTCATATTCTTCACCCTTCTGCTGCTTCTCTTCAGCTGCTGCTTGCTTCAGCATAGCAAGCTTTAACTCCTCTTCGGCTACCTTTTTGTCATGCTCGGCAGCGTCCACCCTATCTTATAGGGTATCTATCAGCTCTACAGTGAGAGTTTGATTGTGCACGAACTGAAAACAGGAGCACAAGTTAAAATAAAAAATAATAATAATAATGATAATTGAAGAGCTGAATTTTAAAGGAGATAAAGGCAAGGAAAATCACCTGCATCATCAGCAGTTGGTTAGACCTGGCTGGGTCAGGAACTGATCTTCTGGATTTGCCCATCCTAGCAGTGGCCTTCAGCGACCAGATTCTTGCCCTATCTACTTCGGACATGCCAGCAAAATCGCCGAAGTAGGCTGCAGCACCTTCTCGGTTCTGACCCCATATGAGGTCCCAGATGTGATCTGGGATTGGAATTCGGGGGGCCGAGAAACCCATTTCTCCAGATTGCAGAGTCTGGAAGGAAGGAAAGGATGACGATGGAGCTTCTTTAACTTTGGATGGCTCAGCATCCTCCTTCTTCTCAGAAGAGTCAATTATTATGACTTCTTCTTCTTCAGGGGTGAGGACGAAGGCCTCAACCTCTCTTGCAATGTCTGCCGTGAAACCCTCAGCACTGGGCATCACGGCATCCTCATTCTTGTGCTCAACATCACTCTCTTGAACTTCTTCTTGGACCCCTCCCTTAGGTTCGGGAGTTTTCTGATCCACCTCCATCTCGGGAGGTGGCGGAGGGGTCTTTGGAGGTGATTGAGGTGGTGGCCGGGGAACCCTCGGCGATCCATTGCCTTCCTCGGGTTCCCTTATTTCGACGCCGATGGTCATCGGCCTTCTCTGAAAGTCATGCGGGCCGATGATGGCCATTCTTCGGCGCCTTTTCTGAAGCGGCTGCTCGTCCATGTCTGAGTCTGAGGACTCTTCTTGTATCTGGTCTTCGGGACGAACAGGGGCTTTCCCTTCTCTATGTCTATTACTCTCTTCAGACTGTAAAAGACGGGGGGAGGAAGAATGTGAGTAAAAAAAAAAAACAAAACAACAACCAGAAACAGACAAAATTAAGTCTGAAAGCTCACCGAGGTCTTCAGCAAAGCCTCGTCTTCTTCAGCTGCCCTAGCTGCAGCTTCTTCTTCAGCAGCCCTGGAGGACCCTTCTCCTCCTTCACAAGCTTCAATAACCCGTGCAACCTCTTCGGCCGTACGGGCAGCTTCAGCTTCTTCGTCCAGCAGCTGAAACCAGGGATCTCTCTTCTTCCACCAAGGCTTCTGCCTCTGATACAGAGCAACAGCCTCAATTTGGAAGTGGGAAGAGTCTAGATGAACTTCTCTATGCCTCTGTTCAGTGATAGAGGGGGCCCGATCAGTTACAACTCGTTCTCGGTTGACGCCAAGACGAGCGTAGTTAATGCCGACGTTGGTCTCGTCCCGCTCTTAAAAAGAAAAGGGGAAAGGTCAGTTCAGTTAGGTTGGCACAGCATAAAAAAGCGAAGTGAAAGAAGAGAAAAAGAGATAATTAAAAGGCCTCGGCCCCAGCCGAAGAAGCTTACCATCCTTAAACTTTCGGCTGAGGCCGACAGCTGCTAGCATGTTCTCTTGGAAAACATAATGCGTATCGGGGAGCCAAGTCTCCGGGATATGCTGCATTCGGCCGCTGCCCCCCCCCCCCCCCGGTTCGGCAGCTTGCCGAAGATATTCTGTTGATTAAGGTTCGGATTTGGGCCGCTATCTGCGGGGGGGACCTAAACTTCCCATGTCGGGATCAGGCTCAGCAAGGTACCGGGGAGCGCTGAAGACGCAAGGGTGGCCCGGGTCCGTGGGTGCCCTAACCCAAATCCATTGACCTCTCCAGTCCTTGTCTGAAGAGTCGTTCGGCCACATGGTTAGGTACTGGGGCCGAGACTCAATCCGGTACCACCCAGAACCATGACTTCCGTGCCCACTTTGAATATTTGGCACTAGCCGATGAAGCTTTTTGAAGCAGTGCAGGTTCGGCACATACCTGAAGAACTTGCAGACCCATAAGTATGTCATCACCCTTCGGATGCTAATAGGAGTTAGCTGACATAGGGAAATATTGTAATGGATCAGCAAGTCTCGGACGAATACGTCCAAAGGGAACCTCAGCCCATACTGAAGTTGTCTTGTGTACACCCCCACATACCCCGGGGGTGGACGATGGATTCTATCGGATGCCACGGGCATTCGGCACCTATACCCATCAGCTTCAAGGATGCCGTAATACAACTCAATTTGTTCGGCAAACCGATACTGTTCGGCATTCTCCACCCACCATGAGTAGGGGCGGTTCTTTATCATGGCCGAAGCTACTTCGGCATCCTCCCACTCTGAAAACCCGGGAAGGATATCCCAAAGGGCAGCGGGAACTTCATCGTCCCGCCCAGAAGCGCTCGGCCCCTCCGTTCTCTGAGGAGGAGCCGAAGAAATTGGAGTCGCCCTAATCCCTTCAGCAGGGTCAGACTCTGCTCTTTGTCCATTCCAGGTCCCAATCCTGTTCCTGGGATCGGGAATTGGCCTTGCTCTTCTTGGAGCACGGGCTCTACCCCTAACTCCTCTCGCCATTGATAATTTCGAAGAAAAAAGTCGAAAAAAAGGGGAAGGAGTTCAAATTTGAAGAAAAATAAACTAAAATCAAAGGAATTTACCTTAATCTGAAGCGAAAGTTGCCGATTTACGAATTGGTAGTGGCGAGTCTCAGTTTCTAAGCTTAATGCTCGGGGAATTTGCGAAGTTTTGATGCGGGTTCTTGGGTTCTCTCGAGAATTCTGGGTTTGTGTTGGTGAATAAGTGAGGAGAGATGACGCGCCTCTAATTATATCTCCAGAAATGGGAATACGGGGAGTCCGCGTTTCAATTTCTCTTAAATACCCCACTAAGTAACTGTTAAACACACGACCTTGCGATTAAACTGCCCATTATCCGTCCAACTTCCACAATTATCCGCCTTAACTGTTGTTATCTCATTAATTACGGTTTAAATTCTAATTTTTGGATTAATTAAATCATTCACTTCCCTCCTTTTCTGATTAAATCAAACCCGACCCGTCATCCTTCCAAATCGGGTCTGGGGGGCAAGTTGTTTGGGTCCAATTTAGTCCAATTGGGCCTAGGCATTAAATGATCCAATTAAAAACCCAAGTCAAGGTTCATCTCTCCAATTGTGCTAAAGTCAAAGATCAGTCCTCAAGGCAAGCCAATTGGGCTAAGGCTCAACTTCTCCATATATGCAAAGGTATAAAAGCCATCAATATTACATTTGTACATTCATTCAAGCAAAGTCTCAAGCAATTAATTCTCTTGCATAGTGTTCTCTTTCTACACACTGTACTGACTTTAGCATCGGAGGGGCCTTCCTCGGCAACACCCCCGAGGCTAGTTTACGTGTGTTTACTGTGCAGGAAACCTTCGGCCCAACATCACTTGGACCGAATCCAGTCTTCTCCACTTCATCGGACCTTCGACAAGATCCCATTGTTTTCACCCGAAACATCAAATATGTTACTCATTATCGTTGTCAATACCATCAAAATCCGTAGCTTAATACAAGTACTAGTATTTGATATATCTTTAAAAAAAAAAAAAAAAGAACTCGATATATGGTATATCTTGTATAGTTTCATTTGCATCATTGCATGTACATCAAAATAAATGGTAATTAAAGTTGACATTTCTATTTAAAATTCATGGTATATATGATGAAAGATACAAATCAGGTAGGCAATGACACCAACATATTTCTTAATCATGGCCTATATCTTATACCATCAAACATTATTATCTAGCACCTAGTATTAGGTGCAGTGACAAGTTTACATTCAAAGCTAAAATTAGCAATTACTTGTACTTGTAAGGAGTATATTTTATAATTGCATGAAACGTCAATAACTTGGATCTAAATGTATTGTACTTAAATTAATTACTCTTGAAACATACGGGTGAATAATTGACAATAATTACATGTTATCAGTCCATAAAACACATAAGAGATTCAAAAAAGTAAAGGAGAAAACCCGAGATTTACTATTTAACTTGATAATATGAAAATTTGCATTAACATTTGTACCTTTGGAGCCACACATTTTCTCAATAGGCTACACTTAAGATACAAGGAATTAAATCTATTCAAGGGTCAATAGGCAATACATCTAAATAGGCGATGTTTGCAACAACATTGACCAACCAAGGGAAAATATAAATACATACAGAAAATCAAGGGTAATGATTGAATCATCGGAAGTTGACTTTGGCTTGATAAGTCATGCCTACACTCCAATAAGCTGGGACAACATTGTAAGCAATAATAGTTTCACGAGTGGAGTAAGATTGGATTTTGAAAGAAAGACATTGGCCTCCTAATTGACCAAATGCTTGGTGAGATGCTCCCCAATTGTGGCTCATGCTAATCCACCCCGTTCTTGAACCTTTCACCCACATTTTGGCTATGTCACCCGCACCACCAACATTCATTACCGTCGTTAGTAGCCAGTAGTTGTTCCCTTGTAGGCTAAATCTTATACCTCCTTTCTTTCCACATGGAACTCTATTCGGCCACCAATGAATATAAAAATGATTAAAAATAAATTTTGACCAAATTAGTGATTTAAGCTTGACTTATGGTAAATTCAATTTAAATATGCTGTTAATCTATTAACCTATACTAAAAGCGAATCCTTCCATAACACTTGTCATTATGTTGTGAAAAATTTTCCCGCCTTTTTCGCTTTTTTTTTTTTTTTTTTTTTTTGCAAAATCTTTTAGTAAACTACTTATACCTTATGTATTTTATTTCCAGTTTGACAACCATATTCCATTTATACTCAAATGAAATATTCGAGAATTTTTTTTATATACTTTATATTTTGTAATATTATTATTAAAAAAATCTATCAATCGTGCATTGCACGGGATTTTAACCTAGTTACAAATAACAGGTCTATATCAAATAAAATGAGCTAGTCAAAGTATAGTTTATTACCTCCGATATTGAACTGGAACAATGCCGGCCCTATAAAAGGCAATTTTCTTGAATGCAGGCATGGAGAGGTCAAAGTGGGCTCTAGGAGGGTTGCACCACCCGCCGGCATTGCTATCCTGAGCCCAATTTGGAGGGCATAGGTTAGTAGCAGTGACGGTAATGGAAGTCGAGCCATGGCCATAACCATTACGGTTGCACCATTTTGACCCGACACACATTATTTGATAGCAACTACCGCAACCATATCCATTGTTGAACAATACGGTGCTTAATGCTGCTGTATTGGTACCATACCCGTTGTTGAACAAATTTCCATATCCACATGCTCCTCCTATAAAAAAAATCGTCAATACTTCTTAGATAATAGTTGTAAATCGTACTTCAATTCGTACGACGTAAATGATTTATTATTTCACTAGGGTTAGTAAAAAGGGAGGCATATATTAGGCTCAAACATGCATGTATATTTGTTCTATTTACCCATAAAGGTAAGAGAGCCATGCACGTCTATTTAAATTACGAGTATAAAAAAGCTAGTCATCTCTAATAAGAAGGATTAGAATGTTTCTTATAAAGTTAAAATTACGCAGCAACACAGTACTGGACAATGTTAAAGTGTTAAACAAGGGTTATGTACTCGTGTGAATTGAAGTGTTTTATAATTGTTTAAAAAAAATGATAAAAATTCAATGATTTAGAATTTACCCATTGTTTCAGAGGCACTATCATCACCATAAAAAGTTGCATGAGCGTATTTCCATTTACTTGGCTTGAAATAAGTAGCATATCCATTTGATAATCTCGCCATTCCTAATACTACCACTACTGAAAACAACAAGCTAAATTGCCTTGATTTTTGCAAAAGAGAAACCATAATTATGATAAGATAAATTATTTAGCTAGGGATTTGAGATCGATTATAATTCCTTACAATAGAAGGTTAAGAGATGTAGGAATTTTGAATGATGATTTAGTTAAAAGACTATGCAAGGTTTATATAGTGTTAACAAATTAAAACAAATGGGAATGTACCTAAGCTAGAACTTAGTGATTCCCACGAATAATAGTATGGAAGAATAATTGAATATACACAAAATTAAGTCTACGTTACGTTGATCGGTCTTAATCAATAATGTTCAATGTTTGCGGTGGAAGATTAACGCTGTTTACGTGCTAGCAAGTTATATTTGATTATCTTATATGACTTAAATATAGTTGGTAGGAACAAATTTATTTTATTTATAATAAGCGGATATAGAAACAATATAATTTCATGAATTTTATTTGATCGTTGTTAACAGTTTATGAAACATGCATAATTTATATAAATACTATAAGGTTTAACCACCCCATTTATTATAATTAAAGTCACGTAAGCATTTCCTAAAAAAAAAAAAAAAAAAAAAAAAAAAAAAAAAAAAAAAAAAAGTCACGTAAGCATCTCTTAGTCAATTTTTCTATTAGAATGGGTCAAGCTAAGAAATATTGTTGTAGCTAGCAGCAGTCAGTTTCCTCGCCCGCAACCTTTTTTTTTTTTAAGATGTCCATCGGTGCACCGGAGCTTCATCCGAATCCAACTCGGGTAGTACACCTGACTTATGGTAGGTAAGTCTCCCAATAAGATTTTTTGCATACGGTGAGGCTCGAACCGACCGAGACCTCCCTTAAGCGACATCAAGTTACCCGAAACCTCCCACAACCTCTTTCTTGAATGAGATGATTTTACACTTGGGTACGTACTTGCTCATGTCGAGCCAATCCAAAGCCTCATGTTTGAATCCGGGTTTGTGAATAATATGTAAGGAAAAATATGTTCATGTATGATATTTTTGGATTCGTCTCAAAGTACTACCATAATATATAACTTTTATAATTTTTACTTATGGAGAATTTGAGTTATTGATCGTTAAAGTTTTGCATTGGCAAGCGTGATAAAAGAAACAGGTCAAGTAAAAAAGAACAGAGGAAGTATATATTAACTATCGTTTATATTTTCATGTAATTATGTGAGTTGAATATTTGAAATTAAAACTTGATTTGACATATGAGATGAATTTTGAGGCAGATAAAATATAGGTGGTAAGATGATCAAATTGTGGACATCCAAGTAGGTCGTGAGGTGGGATGAATTTAGTTTTGTTTCTAGTGGAGTATAAGGATGGGATGGGATGGGATAGGATGGGATGGGGAGAAATATCATACCTGTCGTCGTGTGTGAGAGGCTAGGGATGAGAATTATAGGTGATGATAGGGACAAAGGAATCAACATCCACATCCAATAACCCACCCCATTGACATTCCTAGCCTATATGTCTTATTGACAAGTAAATGCACTTTTCACAATATTTGGTAATGACATGATCTACCTGTTAATCAAAGGTGTTGCTGCTATATAACACGACGTGCATAGGGGTGGTGTAGACACCCATTTGTGTCTCCCCAAAACCAAACCCAGTGATGAGTACCTTTCATGTCGAATCATAATCGAATGAAGCGAAAGTGTGGAAGGTGTTGCGGATAGTTTTAATTTCTTTTCTCTTCTCTCTGTTTTTTGAAAACTTATTTTAAGAGAACAGCCAATCCAGTTTTGTTGGTCCATAATATGGGTCCAATAATGATGTAGTTGGATGGGGCTTGAAAAGAGCTTTCCAACGATATATTATAAGCCCAATTCCGATGAATATTGAGGAAGTTATGGCCAATTTACTAAACTGGGCCCGGTTTAAGCCTTATATACGGCCCAATGATCTAGGGGAGGGCCTAATATAGATTTGTCATTCCTAATGCAATTAGGAATGGTTTTAGTCTTCTAGATTCTTCTAGAAGGTTCTTTTCATTCCTAATTCAATTAGCATTGATAAATTGACTTTTGTTAACTTTTCAGAGTTTTAATTAAAATCAAAAAGCATTTTTGAGGAAAATACGATTTTATCCTCCTGTACGGTAATTTTTATCTGATTTTAGAAAACGCGTGAATTTCTAAAATCAGCGCCAAACGCCAGCTGTAGCGCCTGGCGCTACGCTTGGCGCCTGGTGTAATCCCCCGTATTTTTAAATATTTTATAAATGAAAATTTATTTTATTTATAATATTTATTTGTTATTTTTCATAATTTAATTTCAAAAATTTTAAATTATTAATCTGAGTCGAAAATTATTTGAACAAATTATTTTATGCACCTTTATTCTACAATTTATGTCCAATCACACAAGCCTAACCCATTTGTTTACTTAATCGACCCATTATTTTTATGAGGCCCAATCTTTCTTTTTACCCTACAATAATTCTCTCCTATAAATACCCCATGAATCTCCAAAAATTTCCCACATAAAAAGGTTAGTCTTACTTTCATCCTCCTTTGTTTCATTATTTTGCTTAATATTAATTTAATTGTTTTGGGTTTTGATTTTAGTATAAAGATAATATTTTTAGTATCAAATTATATTTTAATGGTATAAAGATTATAAATTTCAGATTATATTTATGTTATAAATTTCATATTTTATGAATTATAAACCTAGGGTTTCAATTTATTGAAAATCATGATTTTAGGATTTTTATGAACAATTGATTTAGGGCTTTTATAGTAATGATGTTTTGAAATTTTGGTGATTATGACTACTGATTAGTTTAACTTAATTCCAGATTATTTTGAACACGTAGATTCGTGTTTTAATTTTTAGATTTTCGTTCGTTAATACTAATCCCGTTTTAATCCCGATCAGATTCTAAACTCATCCGATTTTGATGAAAAAGTAGTGTTTTCCATGTGAAAACAACGTTTTAAAAAAAGACTCACTACCTTTCGTAATGATCACTACCCTCTCGTGGCCAAATTCAGCCTCTAAATATGATTTTCGGGCAGTTTTTGATTTTAACGAAGTTTTTTTATACTTAAAATATTATCCTTGAGTTTGATTAATAAAATTAATTATGTTTAAAGTTAATTAAGCATAAATATATGTTTTTATTGAAGTTTTAAGTGTTGGAAATAGTTTCTAAGTACTACTTTTGATGTTTTATAAAGAGGGTTTAATCACCCATCCATTAAAAAGGGAGATTATTAGGGGTTTTTATATAACTTTCAGATTTTTATTAGACTTTGAACTTGCTGTAATTTCATGTATAAGAGTGTATTTTAAGGTTTTTATGAAGAAAATTTAAAGAACTATATATAAGCCTTTAATTTTAACTAATAAAGGGAGGGTTTTAAAGTGTTGTTTGATTTGGATTTTGAAGGTTTTAAAGTAAGTTAGTATTGCTGTAAATTTGATTGATTAGGTATTGATTGAGATGTTATTATTTGGCTTAGGAGAGGAGTTTATTGAAGGTGATTTCTAGTTAGTAAAGTGGCATACCAATTCGTTTGCTCAACGTACGTACAAGTTATGAAACCTTTCTTTTAGGTGCATGTTTAAGGACGACGGATCGAGAACTTAGTATCATGTATAGGGATGACTGAGTTAAATTGTTTGGTTATACATTGTGAATTTCGTATGACGTGCACTATTTTATATTGCAAGTATTATTTGTGCTCTAATTATGTAAGGTGCGCTTAGAGGCAAAGGTATATGATTGGTGTAATGATTAATTTATTACTCATTCATGATTATGCAAGCAGGATGAGTAAAGGAAGAATTTAAGTCTTCTAAGACGAGGTTAAGGTTTTGGGGTACCTTATGCACTCAAGGTGTTTATACACCGAGGTAGTAAAGGAATAAATAATAAATGTTGCTTGCCACTAATAAATCAATAATTGAAATTGAAAAGTTGTTTTACTTGATTGAATTGATATTGGATTGATTGTATTGTTATGCATATGAGTCATCACCTAGTCTAAACCTGTAAATCACGTAAAGTGCAAGATGGATGAGCAATAAAACTCTGGATTGGTGCACTTCTGGAGTAATGACAATCAGGGGTTGGGGTACATGGGGTATTAGCCGTGTACTTTTCTCGAGGCCGTATGATCTACGAGTCTCTTATTTCAAATATTTTTCAAAACTAGGAGTTAAGTGAGATCTCATACTAACTACGGTCACAGAGTCGCGCCCGTGGTCGTTGGATGTTTATTGATGTTTCCAAAAGGAGGCATGAGGTTTTTCTTTTATTGATGTTCCAAATGGAGCATGGGTTGGACAACCTTGTCTATTGCGTAATCCAATGAATAAAAATAATGATTTACCTATTATTAATTAATGGAGTCTTAGTAATATAAGTAGTTGAGTCGTGTGTTGAGTCTATAATTTAATGATGCATGATGATTGATTATTAGTAGCATGTTATGGATTTCTTAATTTATTTCGCAGCTTGTATGTACTCAGCTTTGCTGATTGCATGCTTTGTGTGTCTTTCTTTGGTCATGGCCTTCGCCTTTCAATGACCCTGTGACGATCCAATTTTTACACTTGTAATATTGGGGAGCAGAATTACCACAGGTTCTTACACATGCAACATTCATCAGGGTTGTGGGATCTTGAGTAGAGAGTTGGTTGTTTGCATTTTATTTCTTTTGCAAGTTTGAATTTATTTTAATTCGATTTGATTCGACACTATTTCTTTTGGGTTTGAATTTATTTAAACACTGAATTTAATCACTTACTACTTTTATTGGGTTTTGAATAAGGGCCTTAATGGTTCCAAGTTGTATGACTTAATTTGGTTTCATTCGTTGGTTTTGAAACTTATTTATAACGTATTTAGTTTTTCCGCTGCTATTTTCTGATAAAGCCTTAACGTTTGAACACGTGGCGGTAGCACGCCAGTAATTCTCTTGAATATTGTTTAGGGTCCTCACAGGTTTAAAGAGAAAATTATTGGGGTGTTACACCTGGAGCCAGCATTGGCGCCTGGCGCCAACAGCCAGCGTTGGCGCTTTGTTTTGTTAATTTTATCTTTTTGGCTGATTTT